CCCCCGTCCACAATGGGGCTGGAAGGAGCACGTCCTCCCTCATCTGCGTGTTCCTCAGCAATAACCCTGCGAAGCAGACAAGACTGGCATCATTTCAATGTTACAGATGAGATAATACAGGCTGTTAGGGGCTGAATTGTGTACTCTAACTTCAGCAACTTAGAGTACCACTGTGTTTGAAGAGAGGGTCTTTAAAGAGGTAATTAAGTGAAAATGACATCATCAATAGGCTCTAATCCAACATAACTAGTGTTCTTATAAGCACGGGAGATTAGGACACAGACATGCACAGAGAGAAGACCGTGTGAGGACACAGGGAGAGGGTGGTCGTCTACAAACCAAGGAAAGGGACCTTTGAGAAACCAACCCTACCGACACCTTGATCTTGGACTTCTGGCCTCCAGAATTGTAAGGAAATAAATGCCTACTGTTTAAGCCACCCAGGCTGTGGTACTTTATTGTGGCAGCCCTAAGAGTCACAGGTATCAAGGGACTCTGCTGGGGTCACACCCAAGAAAGACAGAGTCAGGCTTCTAGCACTGTTCTTCTTTCTTTCCCCCGGAATAATACTTAAAATAGTGGTGTCTGTTTTTAGAGTTAATATTTTTATCTGTAAATAAACACTTAAAAGATTAAGATGAGAAACTCAGAGCAGCATGTTTAATTCCATTTATTTTGGGTTCTTCCAGTTGAGATGCAGAACAACATGGGAGACCATCACTACCACTGAAACAACAAAAAAAACACTGCATAAACTATGAAATCATTTTTTTTTTTTTTATCCACTGGAGAGCCAAGGTCTCGATGAAGTTGAGAGGAGAACCAAATCTCAGAGGGACTGAGCCCTTCCTAAGTGAGCCAAGACCGGTAGCCACACGTATCCCCACAGCACAGGTGGGATGAGGAGCTGAAGCAGCCGCAGACAGAGGACCTTGTAGAAGTGAGAAGGAACCAGCCAAATTCTTATCAACCATGTGAGCCGAAAGGATGGATTAGATCTGGAGGAGGGGTGCCCTGAATCTACTGCGCCAGAATTTACCAAGTATGGCAGCCTGCAGGAAGTCGGGACAAGGACAGAGAGCAGAATGATACCTCCACGGTGAAGTGGAGACTGGGACCTATGCTCTTCCGGTCCTGCCTCAAGACATGTGAAACCAGTGGAGAACTGAAAGTAGTTAAAGTTGCAATCCAGATCAACCCACCTCAACTCCCGATTAAGCAGTAGGGTTGATCTCCTGAATCCGCTGCCGCTTTGTCACTACAAGAGAAGCCAGCTGAGAACAGGCTGTCAGAGAGAGAAACACTTGCCGCGAAGCCCAGCCTGGCTAAGCCTACCTGAGGTCCACCCTCCCGCTCTGCTCCTCAGTTCCATGAGCCCGCGACAGTGATGCTGAGTGGTTAAGCCGGTCTGATTTGTCATTTCCAACCAAAGGAATCTTAATGGACGTAAAACAGGAGTCCCAACCAATGATTTATTACTGGTCATATATAAAATTGTTAGGCAAATTATTGCATAAATTGGCAATACGCAATTTCTGAAGAGTTATGGCATCTTCTAAATACTCACTAAAATGCACTTTATAACACTACAAATGAACCAAACAATACTACAAAATTACTACAATGGTTTTTTTAAACAATCATAACAGAACTGAAAGTAGACATCAATGTCTTTGCAGATACCATTGTTGGATGGTGTATTCGTGTTTTAACGAGCACACAGAAACACTGTCGGATCCCTACCTTGACAGTGCCTTGTAGGAAGTTTTAATATTCTGCCATCTACCTCAACCATCCACATGTTACATCTACCACGATGGAGGAGACAGAGATTGAAATTGTTACTAAAGCCCATGAAAATGGGGAGATTCTAAACTGAATCCAAATGGAGAAATTAAAATAAGCACAGAAGACAGATTAAAAAGTTTTGAAATCAAGATTGAAAAACGTTTCAAAATATCCAAAGTACCATTTTCGCTGTTGAGAATAGCCCTCCAAACCTTTAAAAACTCATGCTGTGAGACCAAAAGAAAAGAACGAACAAAAGAGAAAGAAAAAAAGAAAGGCTCACAGACTCCGTATTTTTCATGCCAAGTTCCAATCTGGAGTGACACTTTATGAATCATTTTATAAGGTCCTAAAAATAAGAAGCAATAAAGGTAATAGGATCCTCTCTCTGGGAGCCCCAAAGACTGCTAGAAATGCAATTTCTTCCCTACGAGAAGGCAGTGGGTTCTTCCAGGTGGCCTTGTCCCTGTGTTAGTCTCTCTGTCCACCTAGAGAACAGGGTGGCTTACCAGAGTTCAACTCTCAGGTAAACTGAGTGCTTCATGGAGGAGGAAGAATTATCAGACTCCTTCTCACCTGCAAGAGCCAGCCAGTTACTCCCAGGCCAGGTCCAAGGTTGGGGTAACACAAGATTCAAGACAAGGCACAATGACTCCTAAGACAGCCATGTTCAGCCATAAAGAATATGTGCCCACAGGAAATCCTGGATGACTCACCTGATTCCTATTTCCAAGGAAGCCAAAAATATATCTTGCTGGTTTCCCAGTAAATTGATTTTCTCAATTTCTCAATGAAATTTCTAAATTCCCAGGAAGTCAACCCACACTCGATAGGACCTAACTGTTTTATCAGCTAAACCTATTAGAAGGCCCACTGTCCTTCTCAACACAGCAACAAAGTTTACGAGTATTTCACACAAAGCAAGAAGGACTGGGAGGAAATAGACACCTTTCTCCGGTGTCTGTGTTCCTACCCAGGACACAGTCCGAGTTGGCCCCACCTTATTAAGTACGCACATCGCCCTCACACTGCAGAGCACAATGACGTGAGACGTGGGGGCAGCGAAGGGGAGATGGTTTTTTAAGCAAATTCAGAGATTTCTTGCATGGCTGCTCTTATTTAAACTTCCTTTCTATCACTTCCTCCCCACCCAGGTTTTGTTCATTTCATTTCCTTCATTATAGGCTAAACATTCTATCAAAAGGGTGCCTTGAAACCAGCCTCAGGGAGAAAAATGCAAACCCGAGCACAATTTATCATGTTGTCAGCAATCCTGGGTATCGCGCATGCCCCTAAAGAGGATGGCAGTGGGTAATGAGACAAATATTCCATGATATCATCCACAAGCACCCTGGGTTTCTGATCCTGACTAGCAGTTGATGAGCGCCGGCTTGAATAGAGGGAAAAGTGAGACTAAAACGTATTTGCCCTTGGACTTCATTGTGGGGCCCCTGCCTGGTGGTTCTCACCTGAAAAACCCACTTCCGATGGCCCACTGGTGCTATTACTCATGTTTAATACTCCTTAGCGCGGTGGTTCTCAGCACCAGCTGAACATTCGAACTACCTGGGGAGATTTTAAATCACCAGCTGCCCAGACTGTGCCCGAAATCAGTGAAAGCAGCTCTCCAGGGGCAGGACCCAGGCGTGAGAAGCCGTTAAGGTTCCCCAGGTGATGCCAAAGGACAACCAGCCCTGAGACCCCCCTGCCTCGGTATAATCCCCCTGCCTCTGAAACAATATATTCAGATTAGCAGAAAATGCATACAGATGTAGAATGACCAATAGTCACTTACTTTGAAAGCAGATTAAAAAAAAAAAAAACTGCTCCACCAAGACTGTCAGGGGGCTGACGTTTAAAATAAGATCTCAGCATCAGGCCCGAACACACAACCCACCAACTGCCCCAAGCCCCTGCTTCCGATTCAAGAGTGTGTTTTAGTTACTAATCATTTCGTGCTGAGGTCCACCTTTCCCTACGTTTGTAAGGGCACAGGAAGGAGTAGAGCAAAACCCTCCTGTGTGGTAGCATTCTCTATCACTCAGAGCTCTCCTGGGGTTTCAGAGATGGCCTTGATTCAGCAAAATCGCCGCCGCTCTCTCCCTGCCGAATGCAGACCAGCTAAGGAGGGCAGCTACCTGGATAAGATCAGGTCTACAGGCAACAACTGAGCTGAGCTGCAACGTTTGTTCATATATCCCAAAGCTGACCTAAAGGACAGTCATATCACTGATGTATTTCCAAGGTCGCTGGAATACCAGAGACACTATATTTTTTTTTATCCAAAGGTAAGTCTTTAAAACTACAAAAGCACAGCTCCCAAAGATGAGCCGTGGGGTCCCATGCCCTCCATCCAGGGAGGAAATGCCACCTGTGAGCAGCAGTCTTCATCAGGGGACGCTCCCAGGAAGACTGCTAGTGACACAGCAGTGGCCATTTCAGTGACCGTGAAATGTTCTTAAACAGCTGATCTTGAATCCACAGGTTGCTCGAACAGAGGCACAGAATATAAGAACCGTGGGTTCTCACCCCAAGCTACTTAGTAGAATCACTTTTAAAAACACGGACACCCCAGTCGCACCCCAGACCAACTGGATCAGCATGCTGGGGGACAGGCCAGTGCCAGGTCCTGTGTAAAGCAGTGGTTCCCACACCTTCGCACGCATCAGAAGCGTGAACCTGTGAAGCGACTGATTCCTGGACCCACCCCCCCAGTTTCTGATGCAGGAAGTCTGGGGCAGGGGGACCTGAGAACGTGCAGATGACAGGGTCCCAGGTCGCAGCACTGAAGCCGCTGAGAATCGTGGCTTCCGAGGTCCCCCCCAGGTGCAGCCAGGCCTGGGGACCCCCGCATTGAAGAGCCCGCTCTGGCCAGGGAGGGAGGGAATTCTCAGTCTAGCTCTGCCACCAACCTAGGGTTTGATAACAAGCCATCAAGGTTTGGGGGACCTCAACTCGTTCCTGATCTATACAATCGAGGCACTGCATCAGTGAGATACTGGGTGCCTTCCCTCTTCAAAGGGCTGCTATACAGGAAATGCTAACGCTAATCCAGACAGAGGGGGAAAGGCGGTGGCCTTAGGGGAAATGAACACAACAGCTTCAAAACACAGGGGAAGGAAGCTTGCTGCTCACAGGACTTCAGTGCGCCTGGGGACATGCAGTGGTGCCGAATGGCATGTGCTGTCCAGTGTGCGGTTTCCCAGACTCACCTGTTAGAACCTGGCAGAGCTGCCCAGGGACCTGGGCCTCGGTGGAAGGGCTGGGTGCCAAGGACCATTTGCGCCTGACCAGGTGCTCTCGTGTGCTGAGCGGGCCCTGGGAATTGTTGAGGGGCTGGATTAGCACCTGCTCCTGCCCAAGCTGGATGAGGCCAACCTGCCCAGAAAGAGGAAAAAGGGACATGAGTCATCCTCGTTCACGCACACCCACAACCCCAACAATCCGAGGGCAGCAAGGCCACCTGGCTATGGCCTGGGCCTCAGGTCTGGGCTTTTGCTTTGCAGTGTGCTCTGATTGACTGAGCCCAGGAAGGAGCATCTGTGGGACTTGAGACATCCCACCCCATGGCTATGTGGGGCGGGGGGGCACGGGGTCGGAGGTGCAGAGATATATACAACGGCACCCACTTCCCGGGTTCATTATTTTATTAGTAATAAAAAGAACTTTCTTTTAAAAATTATTTTTAAAATCATCCTCCAAAAGTCCACTTGAGGAGGCAATGCCAAAAGTGTTGGGGATGAATGACAATTACATACTTAATGGGGGAAAAAAAAAAAGTATCTTATCCCTGGGGATATTAAGAATGAAAGGATGGAGCCAGTCTTATAGTGTTAATAGCTTTGTGATAGGGGATTTGTACATTTTTTCAGAACTTGTGGTGTTTAAGAGAAATCGACAGAGTAGCCAATGGATTAGATTTGTGATTCTAATTTAAAGTCCATCATGGACTTAGATTCGTGATTTTAAAATCTTAGTAGGTTTAGAAGCAGTATTAGAATGTGTAAGAGAACTTAAGACTTCCCACGTTTATAAGACTCGCTTATTAGGTTTGTAGGAATCACTAATACACTTGCAAAGGGCTTCTTAGCCAACCAAAGAACTTGAAAAGGAAATTGACTACATTACATTCCTCAATGCAGTTTTAAAGGTTTAAAAGTTGTTAATCACCAAATTTACAAGTGGCGCCAAATATCATCCAAAGTTCCCTTGAAAAGGATTGCAAAAAACCTCTGAGATAAAGGGGATTAAGAGTACACTTATCTAGATGAGCGTGGGCAAATGTATAGGATTGTTGAATCATATTGTACACCTGAAACTAATATAACACTTAATTATACTTCAATAAAAGCTCTAAAAACTTGCTAGATTAGAAATAGGACGTGACTTGTAAATTGAAGGAAAAATTTAGGAACTAGGATTTTTAATTTGCCACTTTAATAGAGTGAATATTAATTCTAAAATACATATATATATATGGTGCAGAGAACTCTTCCCATCCCTTGGAACCAATGCTGAGGCATGAAACCAATTTGTGCTCCTTCCCTGGGATACCTGCTGCTAGCTTCCCTTCTGAGGTGTCAACAAAGCAAGGTAAACCTCCCACAAGGAACCCCACTGGGCCCCAGGCTGGAGGAGGACCCGAGTTTGCAAAATGGGCTGTGCGGCCCACAGTGCCTCCTCCGGGTGGATGCCCAGGACCACCTTGGCTAAACAGAGTCCATAGATCAAGCAGATCAGTCTACGTCTGAAATGAGCATCATCTCTTCTCTCCCCACTGAGTCTCTTTTCTAAAGGCCGTGTCACACAGAAACAGTGCTTCTCAAACTCCAATGCACGTGAAAATCACCCAGACGTCTTGGGTAGACCCCGAGGATGTGCATTTCTAACTAGCCCCCATGTGACACCAATGCTCTCCAGCACAGCAAGTCCTCTGGTCTCAAGGACAGAGCTCACTCAAGCCAAATGGTAGACCTCCTCTACATTCAGAAAGGATGCCTGGACACCAAGCCTCTCTGAAAGTAAACCAGATCAACTAATACGATCGCCTCCAACCTTGAGTCCCCAAAACACAGGGTGAGACCGTACTTACAGCTCCTAGCAGATTTCAAGGTTTCCATTTCATTAGAACTTCTGCCAAGAACAACTCAGAGATTTTACTGCCCAAATAAAACTGTCTTAAAGTGGCATTGCATGACCCGCAGGAAAGCACGGCTTTCTTCCTTCTCCTTTGAAGTTAGAACTTGAATTTGTTCACGAAGATACTTTGGGGAGACGGAAGAAGTGGAAGCAGAAGGTGGCTGTGGGGGTTACGCAGAGCTCCGCTGGGGCTGTACCTAAAGAAAGCCTCAGTGCCGAACACACACCTCAGTAACCACGGCGAACACTTCCATGTGTCGAAATGAAGTTGGCAGGTGGGGCATAGCACATGGGATGAGCCCCATGTGGAAGGAGCCCTGTGCTCCCCAGAGGATATGCTCAACTTGGACCCCTCCTAAAATGCTCTGGCTTTGGCAGGTCACAGACCCCCCCAAGTCTAGCACTTTCAAAGCCAGTTACCCCTTTGGTCTAGCGTTGGCCTTCACAAGCTACAGTGTAAAAGGCCAGGGAGCGGGTAACTCTCATGCAATGCAACAGAGAGGCATGGCATGCACGTGCACACACCCCAGCCACAAGCAGAAGCAGCCCCTTTGCTTTGGCAGGTCTTGCTTGCAGGGACCCACATGCTAGTTTCCACCCCTTCATGGAGGACAACGGTAACACAGGTAAGATGATTACATGGACTGGCAGACCGTACCCTACCTGGCAGCTACTTACCCTCCTGGGACCCGGCTTGCAAGCAGACATGGCCAGGACTAGCACCCAGGAGCGAGGGGGCCCGGCACAGCCCCCACCCTGGGGAGCCAGCGCAAGGAAGGACTTTGCCCCGCCCCTCCCCCAGTCCCAGGCTGTCACAGGCTCCCTGACATCTCTTCATGCTCATCTTGTCATCACATTACCAATGATACAATGTGCTGTTGAAAAGTACCATTTGTGGGCGCCTGGGTGGCTCAGTCGGTTAAGCGACTGCCTTCGGCTCAGGTCATGATCCTGGAGTCCCCGGATCGAGTCCCGCATCGGGCTCCCTGCTCGGCAGGGAGTCTGCTTCTCCCTCTGCCCCTCCCCCCTCTCATGTGCTCTCTCTCATTCTCTCTCTCTCAAATAAATAAATAAAATCTTTAAAAAAAAAAGAAAAGTATCATTTGTAACGCCCCCCCCACACACACAGAGGTGCCATCTAGCCCCAGGGAAAACACTTGACAGCCCTCCTTATCTTTCCCCGACCTTCCCTCTTCCTACCCCCTTCCTCCCAAAAACATCCCCCTCCCCTGGCATTTGTGCAGCTCCACTGCCTTATGGGCCATTTGTCACAACCTGAGAGTTTGTTCCTTTGCGACAGGATCACAATTAGCCCTCATTTTTTCCCATTATCTGCCACATGATAGTTAGTCAAGAAAATGCGAGTGGAGTAGAAGAGAAGAGAATGGATTGGATTGGACTGGAATGGACAGGACTAGCCCTGCCTTTCCGCAGTCCCCCTTACTCACAGGCTCTCATCCCTGGCTACAAAGAAGAGCCATCTGGGGGAACTCCTGATGCCCAGGCCCCAGGCTCTCGTTGGTGGGCCCCATCTCCGGAGTTCCTGATCCAGTCTGTCTGGGTGGGCCTGAGAGCTTGAATTCCTAACAGGTTCCCAGGTGCTGCTGCTGGCTTGGGACCACATTTTGAGGATCACCGGCCTCGAGGCAACGGGGAACATTTCTGGCCGTTGACTGGGGGTTCCCTGGTCATAGCAGTGTGGGAGGTACTGGAGGAGGAGGGCATATGGAAGCACAAGGTGACGAGCCTCGAGCCTCGGGTTGTGGAAGCGGGAAGGAAGACGTCTGTGCAAGAGAGATTCTGAAGGAAGAGCTGACCGTCTTTGTGGCTGACTCTAGTGATCAGAAGCGGGGGGAGCTGGTGGTGACGGGCCCATGTTACAGGGGGGAGGCTGGCTTTGGGAAGAAGACCAAGAATCTGTTTAGGCACCTGGTGTTTGCAGAGGCAGCAGCTGGACTTTGCAGGGGGTTGTTGTGGTATTGGTATATAACTGGTATTAAGAGCTCGCCAGGAGATCTCAAAGAGCAGCCAGGGTTGAGAACCATGGTGCTGGCTTTTAGCTAGGTGCCGGAGACGCTGGGCACCTCCTGCCTTGAGTTAGATGTCTGGAGATAGCCTGGATTTGAACTGGACCTTCCTCTGACCCTGGGGCTCTAGGCCCTGCCCTGGCTTCCAGCCCCCAGCTGCCCCGGGGCCCCAGAAGCTGGGCGGGGCTGCACAGATTTGCATTCATCCTCTGGTCACCACCCATGCTGAGAAGTGAGACATGGGTCCTTCCAAGGCACGGCATCCATGAGCCTGAGGTTGCAGGAGATGAAAGGGGCCTGCAGACTTCATCTGAAGACGCATAGCTATAAAGGAAGGCCTGTGGCAGACAGAACTGGAGGCCCTGGGGCTGCTTGGTTTGAATGGATACAATAATCCTCCCCGAAGTGGTGCTCTTAAAAGAGATATCTGAAGTTTGCTAAGATGTGGTATCCTACCAAAGCAATATGTGTCCAATAAAATGCATCAGTTATCACCTGATAGTGTAACAGTTCTGAGTGGTTCCTTTGCGATTCTCTTTGTTCCGGGTGCTGGCTTTGAAGGGTTTCTGTACTGCGTTAGGAGAGCGTTATAAATCAGCTAGCGTTAACTCCAGCCCAGGCTCCGAAGCACGACGAGCCCTCCTGGCCACGTGGAAAATGCATGAGGGAGGTACTGACTTTTATCACCTCCGGACATCAGCACAACTTCTCAGCAGAATGGAGAAAATGCTTTTAAGATAATGTTAAAATCTATCTATCTATCTATCTATCTATCTATCTATCTATCTATACATCCGTCCTATAGATGCTCCGGAACTGAAGAACACACCTGTCTGAGGGGAGGACACCGCGTGACTGCCTGCCTTGCTGTCCTATAAAGACCTCACTGGAATTTCAGGGCCCGGGGAGCCCCTTCTTCAGGAGGCTGTGGCTCCTTGGTTAACTGGCGTGGGTCTTAAGTGGACTTCTCCCTGTCGATGGGTTAGTGTGGGTGGTTTGAGAGGATGGAGCAAATGGGGTTGTTAGCTTGTTTCCTGCGTGAGCAAGTCTGCTTCCAAGAAGCAAAAACAATTCTGTGACTGCAGGCCCTTCTGCAGCTGCCTCCACCTTTCTGGGCGGGCCTCAGCGGAGCTCCTGTGGAAGGAGCATGCCCGACCCCACACAGGCAAGATGGGCTTCCCAGCCTCCGCATCGAGTCCCACTGTCCCTGCC